GTCTGTCCCCAGTCTCCTAACCCTAACCATCCGTGTGTGTGTGTCTGTCCCCAGTCTCCTAACCCTAACCATCCGTGTGTCTGTCCCCAGTCTCCTAACCCTAACCATCCGTGTGTCTGTCCCCAGTCTCCTAACCCTAACCATCCGTGTGTGTGTCTGCCCCCAGTCTCCTAACCCTAACCATCCGTGTGTCTGTCCCCAGTCTCCTAACCCTAACCATCCGTGTGTGTGTCTGTCCCCAGTCTCCTAACCCTAACCATCCGTGTGTGTGTCTGTCCCCAGTCTCCTAACCCAAACCATCCGTGTGTGTGTCTGTCCCCAGTCTCCTAACCCTAACCATCCGTTTGTGTGTCTGTCCCCAGTCTCCTAACCCAAACCATCCGTGTGTGTGTCTGTCCCCAGTCTCCTAACCCTAACCATCCGTGTGTGTGTCTGTCCCCAGTCTCCTAACCCTAACCATCCGTGTGTGTGTGTCTGTCCCCAGTCTCCTAACCCTAGCCATCCGTGTGTGTGTCTGTCCCCAGTCTCCTAACCCTAACCATCCGTGTGTGTGTCTGTCCCCAGTCTCCTAACCCTAACCATCCGTGTGTGTGGCTGTCCCCAGTCTCCTAACCCTAACCATCCGTGTGTCTGTCCCCAGTCTCCTAACCCTAACCATCCGTCTGTGTGTCTGTCCCCAGTCTCCTAACCCTAACCATCCGTCTGTGTGTCTGTCCCCAGTCTCCTAACCCTAACCATCCGTCTGTGTGTCTGTCCCCAGTCTCCTAACCCTAACCATCCGTCTGTGTGTCTGTCCCCAGTCTCCTAACCCTAGCCATCCGTGTGTGTGTCTGTCCCCAGTCTCCTAACCCTAACCATCCGTGTGTGTGTGTCTGTCCCCAGTCTCCTAACCCTAACCATCCGTGTGTCTGTCCCCATTCTCCTAACCCAAACCATCCGTGTGTCTGTCCCCAGTCTCCTAACCCTAACCATCCGTGTGTGTGTCAGTCCCCAGTCTCCTAACCCTAACCATCCGTGTGTGTGTGTCTGTCCCCAGTCTCCTAACCCTAACCATCCGTGTGTCTGTCCCCATTCTCCTAACCCAAACCATCCGTGTGTCTGTCCCCAGTCTCCTAACCCTAACCATCCGTGTGTGTGTCAGTCCCCAGTCTCCTAACCCTAACCATCCGTGTGTGTGTGTCTGTCCCCAGTCTCCTAACCCTAACCATCCGTGTGTCTGTCCCCATTCTCCTAACCCAAACCATCCGTGTGTCTGTCCCCAGTCTCCTAACCCTAACCATCCGTCTGTGTGTCTGTCCCCAGTCTCCTAACCTTAACCATCCGTCTGTGTGTCTGTCCCCAGTCTCCTAACCCTAACCATCCGTGTATGTCTGTCCCCAGTCTCCTAACCCTAACCATCCGTGTGTGTGTCTGTCCCCAGTCTCCTAACCCTAACCATCCGTCTGTGTGTCTGTCCCCAGTCTCCTAACCCTAACCATCCGTGTGGTGTGGCTGTCCCCAGTCTCCTAACCCTAACCATCCGTGTGTGTGTGTGTCCCCAGTCTCCTAACCCTAACCATCCGTGTGTGTGTCTGTCCCCAGTCTCCTAACCCTAACCAACCGTGTGTGTGTCTGTCCCCAGTCTCCTAACCCTAACCATCCGTGTGTGTGTCTGTCCCCAGTCTCCTAACCCTAACCAACCGTGTGTGTGTCTGTCCCCAGTCTCCTAACCCTAACCATCCGTGTGTCTGTCTCCAGTCTCCTAACCCTAACCATCCGTGTGTGTGGCTGTCCCCAGTCTCCTAACCCTAACCATCCGTGTGTGTGTCTGCCCCCAGTCTCCTAACCCTAACCATCCGTGTGTCTGTCCCCAGTCTCCTAACCCTAACCATCCGTATGTGTGTCTGTCACCAGTCTCCTAACCCTAACCATCCGTCTGTGTGTCTGCCCCCAGTCTCCTAACCCTAACCATCCGTGTGTCTGTCCCCAGTCTCCTAACCCTAACCATCCGTGTGTCTGTCCCCAGTCTCCTAACCCTAACCATCCGTGTGTGTGTCTGTCCCCAGTCTCCTAACCCTAGCCATCCGTGTGTGTGTCTGTCCCCAGTCTCCTCACCTCCTAAAATACCCAGGTCCTCGAGCTTCAGCGTGGGATATTTCCGCCCAGGTAGGTGCGAGATCTACCTCACGGTCATCTCTGGCCAGAGATTCCCCAGCCATAAATCACCGTCCTGGCTGATCGCAATGGCCACTCTCTGACCACCTGCGCCAGTCCCAGTCCTATCACATTACGGCCTGGCCGCGAAAAGAGTGTGTGACCGGCTAGAGTCCCCCCCCCCCCTCCTCAATAAATCACTAAATGACGCCCTGGTCGTCCCACGTTGAAACAATGTAAGATCCCATGGGATCGTAACAATATTTTAACTTTTAACTGCATCAAAATGGTAATTAATCCCATATTATCGTTATTAATACTACTTTTTGGGGCGCCTTTGGTGAAATACGTGGGCACGACATCCCCCAACTGTCTTCCCGCACCGAAGTTCCACCCATTAATATATCTGAGTTGTTCATTCCTTGGGATTTAAAACACTTTATTTTTTTTTTTGTTTTTCTTTCTGGTTTTATGCTATTAACATATATTAAAATAACATACTTTAAAAAAATATGGTCATACACACACACTATGCTTTTCTTTTATTTCGTAGAAACAGTGCAGGCTATATTACACCCAAGGTCTCAGCAGTTTCCCATGGGACGCCATAATGTCTATAACCCGATAACCCGATATCCCTGTTTTTTTAAAATATAAGAATATTCTAGAAAGTTTAGGGGAGATCACTCCCGGTTTATTTTTTATTAGCTATTGTTTTTTGTGTTCTTTGTAAATCATTTTTAACATAATGATAATCTATTGGTTAATGTGTTTTAAGATAAAGTTTAGGGGAGATCACTGACACTTTATTTTCAAAATACATTTACTGAAATATGGCTGGAGACGTGATGTGGCTGTGGGCGTGTTAAGTATCCTCATATATGTTAAAGGATATAGTATCTTCTATTATTTTCATATTGTGTATTCGTATGTATATTACAGTTCTTATTATTGCTTAGCATTGTTATCTAGTGATATCTACTGTTGTGTATGTTGTCAGTTGCTATATACCCCCAGACTTAGACAGAAGAACCCAACATTGGGGGCCCTTACATGGCGACCACTACCAGGAGTTCTAGATGAAAACTAATCAGCGACTTGAAGGGGAGGGGAAGTTAGTCGGGCTGAGCATCTCTCAACTGACCAGTCGTAACATTCAAAAGATCAAACTCTCAACTGATCAGTCGTAACATTCAAAACATCAAACTCTCAACAGACCAGTCGTAACATTCAAAAGATCAAACTCTCAACAGACCAGTCGTAACATTCAAAAGATCAAACTCTCAACTGACCAGTCGTAACATTCAAAAGATCAAACTCTCATCAGACCTGTCGTAACATTCAAAACATCAAACTCTCAACTGACCAGTCGTAACATTCAAAAGATCAAACTCTCAACTGACCAGTCGTAACATTCAAAAGATCAAACTCTCATCAGACATGTCGTAACATTCAAAAGATCAAACTCTCAACTGACCAGTCTTAACACACAATAGACCAACCTCTCTCAACACACCTTTTTCACTATACAAGACACAACCCCTTTTCAACAGACCAGTCAGACCTATCAAGCATTCAATACGACAGATATTCGTACACAACAGTACAACCCTGATGCCACTATCTACTTCAAAGTGAATTAGCAGGTAGCTGGAAATTGCTAAACTAGGGTCGCAGCATTATGATCTCATCTGTAGCCCTTGACCCGTTGTACAAGAGCAGAATAATGATAAAAGCTGTTATATATGAACATTAAAAAGCAAGTCATAAATACACATTTTGATGATGATTTGCCTGATTAAAAAAATATGTTGCCATTTTTATGTTTCTTCGTGTGACTTTTATTTAAAGATAAAAAATAAAATTTTTTATTGCGTTTTGTAAAATGTGTAAACCTTAAGTCATTATTAATGTAGTAAATGTGTTATTTTTCATTCATAATATATCTGACAGTAAGGTTTATATTATTACTATTATCATTCTACAAACGCAGCGCCCACAAGATTAAGTAAAATAAACTGTGAGAATAGAAAGATGTAATAAATAAAGCATAACCTTGAACAATCAACAAGTCTAGTAAAGTGATAAAGGCATACAAAGAAAAGCGTGGGTGTCTTCCTGAACATTAGTAAAGGTATCCAATAGATACTAAATTGACCCACGCTTTTCTTTATAGTTATTTAAATAGTAGTCTATAATTTATTTTCTACTTTTTAGTGCATTAGTACATAAAAACTTGTTATTAAAACGTTTTTTATGAAAAGAAATGTTTATTGTTTTTGTCAGGCTTTAAGGAACCAAAGTTTAATTTCAATGTTTTTCTGTCAGATATGTTTATTTGGGGGGGGGGGGGGGGAGACTTTACTGACTGTATGACATCATTTGTCAAATTTTTAAGAAAGACTTTACTAATTGTATGACATCATTTCTCATATTTGTTGGGAAAGATTTTAATAACTCAGTTATAGAGTGAGTAACATGCACGAGCATCTATTGACGTTTCTCTTTTAGTCATTGATCTGCTTATTTGTGATTAATGGTAATTACAGACAATACTTTAACTATGGTGCTCTAAAACTATCAACAATTGACGAAGTGTGCGACTAAATACGTTCACACGTATCAGGACGACATTAAAAGCCAGAATCTCTCCACGTCTGGTTAGTGTATAGTGGTCTTTAGTTTTGCTTCAGCGATCCTTAAAACGTCTCTAATTCTACTCCATCATGAAAGTTTATCGTTACAGTAAATTTAAAAATACGGGTTTTAAAAATGATCAAAATTATCAACACAACAAAATTCAATTACACAAACTAAAAGTTGTAGGACTGACACGTCACTTCCTTTATCCGTGCCTGCATTTGATTGGCCGACAACTTACAGCAGACGGGAGAAATGGTGCCTACTTGGTGCTGGTGTATGGTAAGTCTTCTAAGGACATTACAACAATAAAGTAAATAACTGGAGCTATATTTAAGACAGTCATTAGATTATTGATTTTTGTATTTCTAATTGGCGTATAGAGTTTTTATAGTCACGTGACACCAACAGACGTATCTTTGTTCAAGACAAATCACACAGATTATGGGACAGATACAATACTTTATCACAAATCACACAGGTTATGGGACAGATACAGATCCATATCACAAATCACACAGATTATGGGACAGATACAATACTTTATCACAAATCACACAGGTTATGGGACAGATACAATTCCTTATCACAAATCACACAGGTTATAGGACATATACAATTCCTTATTACAAATCACACATATTATGGGACAGATACAATTCCTTATCACAAATCACACAGGTTATGGGACAGATACAATTCCTTATCACAAATCACACAGATTATGGGACAGATACAATTCCTTATCACAAATCAGACATTTTATGGGACAGATACAATAAATTATCACAAATCACACAGGTTATGGGACAGATACAATTCCTTATCACAAATCACACAGGTTATGGGACAGATACAATAAGTTATCACAAATCACATAGGTTATGGGACAGATACAATTCCCTATCACAAATCACACAGGTTATGGGACAGATACAATTCCTTATCACAAATCACACAGGTTATGGGACAGATACAATTCCCTATCACAAATCACACAGGTTATGGGACAGATACAATTCCCTATCACAAATCACACAGGTTATGGGACAGATACAATTCCTTATCACAAATCACACAGGTTATGGGACAGATACAATTCCCTATCACAAATCACACAGGTTATGGGACAGATACAATTCCCTATCACAAATCACACAGGTTATGGGACAGATACAATTCCTTATCACAAATCACACAGGTTATGGGACAGATACAATTCCCTATCACAAATCACACAGGTTATGGGACAGATACAATTCCCTATCACAAATCACACATATTATGGGACAGATACAAGTACAGATTTTCTTGACGTCACAAAACACGACCTAACGTCTTTATTCTTAACAAAAAAAAAAACCTCTATATAAAACCAATCAGCCGTAACTTCCTGTTTCTGTCCGTGTGTTAATGAAGCAACGACCGTGTATCATGACAACACACTTTGACCTACATAACATGTTGGAGCTAACAAACAAGATAAAACGTGTTTGTACATTTTACAACACGAAATTTAAATTTGTACTTCACAATATAATGATTTAAAAAACAATGTATATTGCTTTATTTTGTTTTTTACTAAAACTAATAAAATAAATGTTTAATACAGGCACTAGTACAACATTGTGCTGTTATTGACTTTATACCTCGTGTATCTTGTGTTGAAGCTTATAACATAAATGCTCTAGATAATGACCTGTACAATATCGCGTTAAAGCATGTCTCACAGATGTTGAAATAACTAAAGAAATACGTCATTGTATGTAGTTACTTGATCAACAAATATGGGTTGAGTTAGTGGATAGTTAAATTATTATAGTACTCAAATTTGATGTCTAAGGCCAGTTAAACTCAGTTGACATTGTAACAATAGTGGACATTGTAGTTTTAGTGGACATTGTAGTTATATTGGACATTATAGTTCTAGTTATTTCAGCTCTCTTTTACTTTAAATAATATTCTGTCTCTAATATGGGCCATTACTCTCTCAGATTTTAGTCCCCCAAACACCAGCCTCAGTTGCACCTTGTGTAATTCATGATTCAAGTAATTCACCCAACACTACCATTCCGCCAAAGATTCTCTGTAAACATTCCGTCAAACACCTTAAACCATTTATAAACTTCATAGAGCCACTAGATAGACATCGAGAAATAAAATGACACCATCGCTTAGATAAAAGTTCCAGTTTTTTTAGTTCTCATACGATTTTACAATCGTCAGTATTCAACAAGTTGGGATGTTAAATATGAGAGTAGCGGCTTTGATGTTGGGTGTCATTAAAAAAAAAGTATTAGAACATTGTACTGGCTAATTAAAGTCACCTTTACCAAAACTCGTTGAAACATGTTCAGTACATGTTTGATTTAAAGTTAATCATGCACAACAAACTGTTTAATATAACGTAAGAACCTGTTGAATGTGGGCTGGCATTGCTTTATCTAATACGTCATTGTCACGTCACGTGATCTTAAGTCTTTCAATCAACGCTTGAATACATTTAGCTTCGCTGTTGACGTTACCGTAAGGAACAAAACAGGACCGTGTGCCATTGTGTGAACCAGCCTATTGAAATAAAACACCGCGGCTATAGAAAGACTGTGGCCCCTGTGGCTTTATACGTTAACGATTGATTCCCACAGAAATAGGAATATAGGGTATTATGGCGTCATTTTTTATTTATTCATTTATTCAATTACGATAACAATAGCAGGCACGAAGGCCTTTTTCAAATTGGCCGTTTTAAAATAAACAAATAAAACAACAATTCAATAACAGCATTAAATAAACCGGGAGTAATCTCCCCTAAACTTTCTCGAATATTCTTATATAAATCGGAATATAGACATGATTTTTAATTACTTAAACTTTTGAACATAGAATAGAATCTCGTAGAAAAAAGAATTGCGCACCAAGTGAACGCCAAATAAAGATGTGCATAATAGTGTGCAATATTATTAGTACTTTATAAATTTACATGTGTTTTTTGCGAAATCGGAAATAGCGTAAATTATTACTTCCGTTCAACGGAAATTACTCAAAATTCGACAGAAGGTAGAGAATTAGATCTTTTACTTACATGTGAAATTTCATTTATCTATTTGAAACAGTACTCAAGTTATAGGCTTTTGAAAAATTCAAAGTAGAAAAAGTACCACTTCCGATCTCGATGTTTTTTCTGCACGATTACAAGACTTTCTCTATACTTCGTATATACGAGAAAATAAAAATCCGTTTTGTTTTGAATATATGTTCAGATGTAGATAGCTTTATTTTATTAGGAAGATTTTTCCACAAATTAGAACCAGAGTAGGCGAAGCTATTTTTTGGAAGAAAGTTGTATATGGGATCGGTAAATTAAGACGACGATTTACTTTTATGTTAAAAGAAAATAGGTCTAATAAGTAAGAGGGGGCTTTTTCGTGGAATATTTTATATAAAAACATTGATTTAGTATACATTATTTTTTATTATTTAATGGAAGTATTTTAGTTGTAATAAAAGAAACCAGACTACTAGACAAGCCAGTAACCAGTTTTATAGCCCTTTTTTGTAATTCTGGAGTGTTGTTTTATCAAGAAATATTTAATAAAAATAGTGATTTATTTCTTCTTGTCTTAAATTGTTACGATCTTTTGATCCTGTTTAGACCGTCCCCACAACAAGGCTTATAAAACCTGGTCACATATTCTTGTTTATTTAAAGATATCAAAAGCCAGTACAATTATACTTGTTGCCATAACACATGACATTAGAACAACATTTTCTTCTTCTTTGTTCTTAATTATAATTTTGGACACAGTGCAGTATTACGTGTCAATATGTTATGTGCCCGTTGACATCTGTCTGCTTTAAATTCTGAATTTTATTCCATAGCTTTTCCACCTACACCAGGTAAACAATCAATAACTGTCAATCCAGGTGTGACAACCAATCGCTAGTCGTACCAGATGTTTCATTGACTTTATGATAAACGGTTTATGGTCAATGTATAACATAGCTTGGCAGTATAAGACAAGTACTTTGCCTGTGTAACACATCAAGTCCACTTTTATGACTTCACATGATGTACGCTATGACTGAATGACTGAATGACTCAACGACTGCATGACTGAATGACTGCATGACTGATTGACTGAATGACCGAATGTCCGAATGACGGAATGACAGAATGACCGTATGACCGAATAACCGAATGATCGAATGACCGAATGACCGAATGAACTAATGTCCGAATGACCGAATGACAAATGACCGAATGACCGAATGACCGGATGACCGGATGACTGACTGACTGAATGAACGAATGAACGAATGAACGAATGAACGAATGAACGAATGAACGAATGAACGAATGAACGAATGAACGAATGAACGAATGAACGAATGAACGAATGAACGAATGAACGAATGAACGAATGAACGAATGAACGAATGAACGAATGAACGAATGAACGAATGAACGAATGAACGAGTGAACGAATGAACGAATGAACGAATGAACGAATGAACGAATGAACGAATGAACGAATGAACGAATGAACGAATGAACGAATGAACGAATGAACGAATGAACGAATGAACGAATGAACGAATGAACGAATGAACAAATGAACGAATGAACGAATGAACGAATGAACGAATGAACGAATGAACGAATGAACGAATGAACGAATGAACGAATGAACGAATGAACGAATGAACGAATGAACGAATGAACGAATGAACGAATGAACGAATGAACGAATGAACGAATGAACGAATGAACGAATGAACGAATGAACGAATGAACGAATGAACGAATGAACGAATGAACGAATGAACGAATGAACGAATGAACGAATGAACGAATGAACGAATGAACGAATGAACGAATGAACGAATGAACGAATGAACGAATGAACGAATGAACGAATGAACGAATGAACGAATGAACGAATGAACGAATGAACGAATGAACGAATGAACGAATGAACGAATGAACGAATGAACGAATGAACGAATGAACGAATGAACGAATGAACAAATGAACGAATGAACGAATGAACGAATGAACGAATGAACGAATGAACGAATGAACGAATGAACGAACGAACGAACAATCGAACGCACGAACGAACGAACGAACGAACGAACAAACGAACAAACGAACGAACGAACGAACGAACGAATGAACGAACGAACGAACGAACGAACGAACGAATGAAGGAACGAACGAATGAACGAATGAACGAATGAACGGACGAACGAACGAAAGGACGGACGAACGAACAGACGCACGGACGAAC